ATTCCTCCCCACTCTGTGGACCCTGTAAATGAAACGTATTAGAAGCCTACAGAGGCCAAGAAAGAAAATAAAATCACAGTGCCACCTGCTGGAAATGTAAAAATAGTTCAACCCCATAATTTTTAGATACTGACAGTTTAAAAAATAGGGAAATTTAGGGCCTCCCTGGTGGCGCAGCAGTTGAGCGCTGGGTTGCGAAGCTGCCTGCAGTCTCTGCAGCGCCAGATCGATCCCTGGCCACTGGGTGAGGGTCCCACATGGCGCGCAGACCTCTCCTGCTGCTCCCACAGCAGTGAGGGTCCCACATGGTGCGCAGAACTCTCCTGCTGCTCCCACTGTGTCTGCTGCTTCCCTCAGCAGTGCACTTCGGTGGTCTTTCTGCCTGTTCTGGTCCTTCTGCCTGTTCTGCTCCCCGCTCTGGCTCTGGTGAATTCTCTTACCCTCCCGTGCTTCTGACTGTACTCGGTGCTTCTGACTGTACTCGGTGCTTGTGTGGATAAATAAATTAAAAAAAAAAAAAAAAGCACCACGCTTAAAAAAAAAAGGGGAAATTTAAATTAGCAATACGGGCAGACAAAAATCTTAGCACATGATGACTTGGGAACACAAAGGAGTATGACATCATAGGAGAGACCAATTATTCAGAATTAAGCTATAAAAGCATGGACAATTACAGTTGCTTAGTTCAATGTTGTTCTAATTAAGAAATTCAGAGATTGATGAACATTCAGAAAGCAAGTCGAGTAACAAAATTCAGAAAAACTAATCAAAGAGACATCAAAATCCTCAGAAAAATAAATAAATGACTTCAAAAGTAAACCTGATAAACAGCAGAAGATGTTGAAGCTTAAAATATGAAAATAACAGATTCAGGGTATACAATAAAGGACCCAATAAATGAAATCAAGTGATTTAGAAAAACTTATAAAAGTATAATATGCCAAATGAATGCTTGATTCCGTTATTTTGAAGAAAGTAATGCACAAAAGACTCAAATGGAAAATGAGAGAGAGGTAAAAAAATAAAATATGAGAATTATCTCACTATTAGGAAAGGCAACATAAGGATAACGGGGTATCTCAGAAGGGGAGGAGAAAGAGAGGAGAACAGGGAGCTTATTCAAATAATAGTAGTGGAAAGCTTCCCCACCCAGTGAAGTTATCTAAACTGGTTTAGAAAACTGGTTATCTAAAACCTGGTTATCTAAGTGCAACACAATAATAGAGGGGGACTTTAACATCCCACTTCAACAATGAACTGATCATCCAGACCAAAAAAAAAAAAAAAAAAAAAAAAATCACCGCCGTACTCTTTTTCATCGTGACTGAACCAGTTTACATTCCTACTAAGAGTACACAAAGGTTCCCTTTTCTCCTCATCCTCACCAATACTTGTTATTTCTATTCTTTTGGATTATAGACATTCTAACAAGTGTGAGGTAATATCTCATTGTGGTGTTGATTTGCTCTTCCATTATGATTTTAATGATGCTCACTTTTTAAATGTACTTATTGGCCATTTGTATATCTCTTTGGAAAACAATCCATTCATATACTCTGCCATTTTGAAATCAGATTGTTTTTTGCTATTGAGTTGTATGAGTTCTACATATATTTTGGATATTAACTTCTTATCAGATACATGATTTGAAAATATTTCCTCCTAATCAGTAGTTGTCTTTTTATTTTGTGATAGATTTCTTTGCTGTGCAGAGATGTTTCAGCTTTTTGTTGTCACTCGTTTATATTTGCCTTGTTACTTTTATTTTTGGTGTCAGATTGAAAAATCATTGCCAGGACCAATGTCCAGGAACTTACTGCCTATATTTTCTTCTAGGGATTTTATTGTTTCAAGTCTTACTTTCAATCTTTAATCCATTGTGAGTTAATTTTTTGTGTATGGTGTGAGATAGTGGTCCATTTCATTTGCATGTGACTGTCCAGTTTTCCCAACAGCATTTGATGAAGTGATTGATATTTTCCTATTGTATCTTGGCTACTTTGTCATAAATTAATTGATTATTTCTGGGCTCTCAGTGAGTCTGGTTTTTGCCAATATCACACTGTTTTGATTACTGTAGTTTTGTAATATAATTTGAAATCGGGAAGCATGTGTCTCAAGCTTGTTTTCTTTCTCAAGATAGCTATTTTGGATCTTTTGTGGTTCCATATATGTTTTAGAATTATTCCATTCCAGGGAAAATGCCATTGAAATTTTGATAGGGGATTGTGGTGAATATGTAGTTCGCTTTAGTAGTATTGATATTTTCACATTATTAATTCTCATTATTAGGAATTGAATTAACTGGGTTCTTTTCTTTTTTTTTTTTTTTTTTTGAGTTGTGGGACTTTTCAAAAATATATTCTAGATATTAAATCCTTACCAGATGCAGTAGATTCTGAATAATGTTTCATTCAGTGTCACTTAATTGTAATGTTGATGAGAAAAAATATCCTTGTAAGTATTGAACAAGATCTTATTCAAGAGTCTTTTTTCATTATGCCTCTTTTCACTTGAAGTCAGTTTCCAAGAATCTACTGATTATTTTAAGTGAGGACTGACTGCATGCTTTGCTGATATTTTCTCCCATTCAGTAGGTCATCTTTTCACTTTGTAGATTATTTTCTTTGCACACAAGCTTTTAAGTGTGATGTGTTCCCATCTGTCAATTGTTTTTGTTTTTGAGGATAGTTTGGTTTACAACACCGTATATGATTTAGAGGGACAAGATCACCCTGTTCAGGTATATGTTACCATAATACACCCACCACCAGAGCACCTATAGCCCTCCAGCAAGGCCATGGTTTATTTTTACTTTGGTAACATTGGTTTACACAACACTGTTTGTGATTCAGTCATATAGAATCACACCTTTTCAGATAATAGTGCAACTAAATCTTGATTATTTTGATATTATTTGGTTTATGAAGTATACAGGATCTTTTATTTCTTCTTACCTGATTGCTTAGTCTATTTTTGGAACAAGTAGAAAAGGAAATATGTTGACCACCTGTGCTACCTATGAATTTTTCTTCCACTAGCACAAATAATCAATACTTTAGAAATGACTTCTATAAGTGCATAGGACTTAACTACTTAAAAGTAGTTACCATAACTTTATAATGTTCACTAATCATATACACATATACATTTATATAGAAGAAAATAGAACTAATCAGCTATTTTATATACTCAAGTATAAAATTTATATCAATATTTAGCTTTATAGACTCAGAAAACCAACTATTGTTCAACTGATTGGCTATCTTTTACTCTTGGTGTTCTTTTTTTTTTTTTTTTTTTAAAGATTTTATTTAGGGCCTCTGGTGGTGCAGGTGGTTGAGCGCCACACTGTGAAGCTGTCCATAGCCTCTGCAACATGAGTTCAATCCCGGCCGGCCAGGGAGATTCCCACATGGCATGGCAGACCTCTCCTGTCTCACCCGCTGCTCCCCTCAGTGGTGTATTTCTTCAGTCTGCCTGTTTTGTTCCCCACTCTGTCTCTAGTGAGTCCTCTAACCCTCCCATGCATCTGGCCTGTACCCCGGTTCTTGTATAAATAAATAAATCTTTTTAAAAAAAAAGATTTTATGTATTCATGCATACATTTATTTATTGTATAAATAAATAAATCTTAAAAAAAAACATTTTATTTATTCATGCATACAAGAACCAGGGTACAGGCCAGATGTGCGGGAGGGTGAGAGGATTCACTAGAGAGAGAGCAGGGAACAGAACAGGCAGACTGACAAAATACACTACTGAGGGGAGCAGCAGGGGAGACAGGAGAGGTCTGCGCACCATGTGGGATTCTCCCAGGTCGGCCGGGATCAAACCCATGCTGCAGAGGCTGCGGACAGCTTCACAGTGCAGCGCTCAAGCTCAACCACCTGCGCCACCAGGGGAGGCCCTTACTCTTGGTGTTCTTTACATGTTTGACTCAAGTTTGTTTTGGCCTATATTTTATGAAGTTTCATCCTAAAAAATGTGATTATTCTGTATGAGGTTGAATGATATCAGTGGCTTAAGGACCCAGTGTTAGTATATAAGATATTTATGTACTACAAAAAACATTGGTGTTAGCATGTGACTAAGGGGCACCCTGGGACTCCCAAACTTGCACGCATCTATGCACACAAAAGTAAAGGAGACCCTTAGTGTCAAAGAACTTTCATAGAATTAATATACATAGAGAAGAAAGTATATTAGTGACCCAGTAAAACACCCAAGATAACCTATCTCCTTATGGGCACATGTCCAATCAAACAGGATTGCCCAAAAAGAGGGCTGCTGAGGCCTGAAAGTTGGCCACAACTCTAAGGCATCTTCTCGTAGGGAACCATGGGAAAGGCATCCTGAAACAGATTCCAGAAAGCTGGGACCAAAGGAGATACCACATCAAGGTGATGGCTGCCATTGTCAGCCTATGTATCTTTTCACCCACGTGTCTCTTCCTGGTGTGTCTGCATGTCTCTCTCCCACTTGTCTGCTTCCTTGTCCTCCAAGTCCCTGGGGCAAGTTCAAAGCTGAGAAGCAAATATATTCTCTTCCTGAGTCTGCCTGCCTTCCCTGTTACATGCTTCATCTCACTTCTCAGCTACACTTCATTTGACTTCTCAGCTACACTATCCTTCAGTGGGTTGGGGAACATGGTACCTCCCCCTTTTATGGAGATGCCTCTGTAACATAGGGACTTTTGACTTATGTTTATTTTATACCTAGAGGCTAATAAATGTCTTTGTATAGTCATAGCTGTTGACATAAGATTTAGGTATAGTTTTAGTGGAATCTATGAAAATGTGAACATTTTATTACAATGGATAGTAATGGTCAAAAGAATACTGTCTCACACTGTTTTAAATTACTTCTTTTTGTCATTTTATTGTTTTACATTGGGAGCAGATGGGTAAATAGCCAATATTTTTGGCTATTCTGTTGTGTACAGTAATTTTGTTTGCTTTTAATTTCATGGCTCTACATTATATTCTTTTTTCCTGCAGAGAGCCAAATAAAGAAAACTACTTTACCATTTCACAACTACAGCAACATCAATGAAGATTTTAATGTAAAGAAGAAAATGGTCTTAGAATACCCTTCAAGAAATATATCATTGGAAGATGAAAGAAGTCAATTACATTCCAGGAGAAAACGTTTTTTATCTTATCCAAGATATGTGGAAGTTATGGTCACAGCAGATGCTAAAATGGTTCATCATCATGGGCAGAATTTGCAGCACTATGTACTAACTCTAATGTCAATTGTAAGTAGACGCGATAAGCTCTTTACATTTCCTAAACTTTAATGTTTTTACATTTAATTAAAAATGTTTTTTCCAAACTCCAGATGTAGTTGAACTGTATCTAGATTGAAGCCAAAAATAGTTCATTGAAATGTAGTTTTTGTCCATAACAGCATGCATGCCCAGTCTAAGTAGACAAATTTCTAAAATGTTTAAAAATCTTCGAAACCATGTGGAGAAAATGCTTAAAATATTCTTTACTTCCTCACATGAATGGTTTCTGCCCTGTAGTGACAGGGAAGAGCCTAGTAGCATTGCTCTTTTGCCTTTGAATATGGTTTTAAAATATCACTCTATTTCTGCACATAGAGGAGGGGACATACTTTTTACTGTTGCTACATTTGTCAGATCAAATGATATTTTTACCTGTAAATATATGCATGGGCTAAAAGGATAGGCTGTTACTAGTAGAGCTGCTGCAGCAAATTGGAGATACAAGATTACAGTAGCTATGAGTCTTTGATCTGAAATCACTATTTCTGTCCTATAGTGTGGTGGTATCAGCATCCATAAACTAGATGAGAGGTGGTGAAGAACACTGGTTCTGTTAGCTGTAGCTATCTGTAACCCCCCCCCATATATGCAAACATATACATGTATAGGCATAGCCACATCTTGTACATATGTCCACATGCAAATCTTTTTTTTTCCTGTGATACTTCCTTTTTGTGTTTTGTCCCTTCACTTTCTCCTTAGTCACTTGCCTTTTCTTTAAGTCTTTCCTTTTATTATATTTTATTTTTTAATGTAGAAGATCTGGGGTATAGGCCAGAGGTAAGGGGCAGAGGTGTGTGTGTGTGAAAGGATTCACCAGAGACAGAGTAGGGAGCAGAATAGGCAGCTTGACTGAAATCCACTGCTAAGGGGAGCAGCGGGTGAAACAGAAGTCAGCTGCACCCTATGTGGGTAAGCTCCCTCCCTACCTGGGGATCAAACTCAAGCCACAGCAATGATAGTGGTGAGACTTAACCCATAGGCCACCCAGGGGGCCCAAAGTCTTTCCTTTTTACTTCAATCTTTTTTACTGTTCTTCTCACTTAATTTTTCTCCCTGGACACTATAATTTCTTCTCAGACACTTCCCTCTTCCCCAAGATTTCCCTTTTCTCTTTGATACTTTCCTTTTTCCTTCTGATACTCCTTTTTTTTTCCCTTTAGACAGATTACATTTAGCCAAATTTCATTTCTGTTTAGACACTGCAACTTCCGTTCCAACTAGAACTTCACTGAAGTTTCTCTTGAAACACTTGCTTTTCTGCTCACTTTGCTGTTTTCCTCAGACATCCCTATTCTCTTCAAACTCCAGTTCTCCTCAGAAATTGTCCTTTGCTTTGGCCACTTCTCTATTCTTCTCACCGCTCTCCACAGTGTCTTCCCTTTTTTTCTCAGTTCCTTTCCTTTTCTTAGTTCCTTTCCTTTTCTTCTCGGACTGCCCTTTTCAATTCATATGCTTCCCAGTTCTCAGAAATTTCATTTCTCACACACATTACAGTTTTTCCTTAGGTACTGTAATTCTCAGACATTTCTCTCTCCTCCTCAGGCTCTTCCTTTATTCCTATTATAGATGTGTAGGGGTACACATTTCTTTTTGAATTAGTGTTTTTGTGTCCTTTGGGTAGATTCCTAGGAGTGGAATTGCTGGATCGTATGGTAGATCCAGTTGTTAGTGTTTTAAGGAACCTCCACATCATACATCTGATAATGGACTGATTTCAAGGATCTACAGGGAGCTCACACAACTCAACAAAAACAAAGCCAATAACCCCATCAAAAAATGGGCAGAAGAGCTAAAGAGAAAGCTAAGTAGATACTTCTCCAAATAAGAAATGCATATGGTCAACAGGCATATGAGAAAATGTTCACTATCACTTATTATTAGGGAAATGCTGTTTAAAACTATGATGAGTTACCAATTCACATCTGTGAGAATGGCCTGTATTAAAAAAAATAATAACAACAAGTGCTGGCAAAGATGTGGTGAAAAAGGAACTCTCTCACACTGCTGATGGGGATGTAAACTGGTCCAGCCACTATGGAAAGTATCTCTTTTGAAGTAGTTTGGGCTTCTGTAGATATATGTTTTACTTCTTACCCATAATCAAATTTCAGATGATTCCTAAATTGCCTGAACTTAATAGTTTTTTATTCTTTTTTTCTCTCTTTCATTGAAAAATGTTTAGATAAGGATATGGGAAAGTCAGGAGCCTTTATGGCTCTATACATTTGTTGTTATTTTATTAGTGATAAAAGTAATCACACTTAATTTCATGGATGCAAACAATATAAAAGGTGAAAGGAAACGTAGAGAAAAAGTGACAAACCCTCCTGTTTTGCCTGGAACTTTCCTAGTTTTTGTATTAAAATTCTTGTTTATCTGGAAGCCCCTTAGTCCTGGGCAAACTGGAACATTTGCTCACATTCACATTACATAGAGATCGCCAAGTCTAGTCCAAATTATTTTATTTCCACTATGAAGTCTATTTCTAAAACTGCTTTAAAGAGGTAAGTATAATAATAAGTATCCTGAATGTGCTCACTTGAGTAAGGAGCCATTCATTTATTGTATATTTTGTTTTAATATTTTAGAAAACATTAGCTGCTTTTGTTCAAATATGCACATTTGTAATATTGTTCTTGTGTTGTAACACTTGTTAATGTATTGTAGCTAAGAAAATTTGATTTAAACTTGGAATATCATTGTAAGCCATTTAAATATAAGCTCAATGTCTAAGAGAATAGTGGGGAAATAGCTAAAACCTTTCAGCATTGAACCAACTGTTTCATAGATACAATTTAGAGAGAAGGTAGTCTACCCTTACCCATCTGGCACTAAGTAAATAATTATGCTGTCTTCTCAAACTTTTCTTGCTTTAAAAAAGTTGCTTTTCTGAGTGCTGTATGCATGTTGTAAAAATAAATTAGTGACCTCTATTTTTCAAAGGATTTCTGGAATTAACATTAAAATTTGTGGGGAAGAACACAATTGTAGTATATAGTATATCTGGTAAAATAAGTGTTTATGTTAAATAAGTGGAGATATTCAGTTAATTGATATTCCAAAGCTTTTATCCTTAGACAATTTGGAAGATGGTATCAAGTTAAAATGGCATTTACTTGGGCATTACTACACTATCAAAGTATTTGTAAACCAGAGCAATTACTTTCTTCAACAGATTTATTTTGATATTCACTGACTTGTTATTTAATAAACTTTGAAAACATCTCTATGTAGGAAATCTTTATACTCCATTGTGTTTACAAAGGTTTTACTTTATAATAGTCACTTTGTAATAGATTTAATAATGCAAATTTAAGAAACTATGGGATCCTAAGGGACTAGCCCTGTTTATTAAAATAGTATTATTAGTTATTTACAAACTGAAGACCCTCACTTCCATTAAATTAACTTAGTATCTTTGTTTTCAATTTTTTGAGTTGCTTTTACTGATGAATTTCAGGATAGGGAAATTCTTCAACCACACTAAAATAAAAAGAATCATATACTTTCATAATTAAGGTATATTCATTTATTTTTTCCTTTTTCCAAACTCTGTGCTCTGTTTATAAATTCTATATGTTTACTTTGTACCTCTGTGGAATATCCTTTTCTAAAAAAAAGATCTTTCTGACAAGTATAAAGACCAGTGATCTTTATAAACAAAATGATGACTTTTTTATGGATGTCTTTATACTTCCCAATGAGTGCTGTCTCTAAACATGCTACACGTGAACATTTGCTAAAGCTGTATGTAGAAATTAGTTCAAAATGGATGGTCAATTAATGATGATAGTGATTTGTTTCAAGTTTTGCATGATTTGTTGTTTTGCCTAGAATTTCCTTAAAATATTTAAACAACATAATTATTACCATTACTTCTGTACTTTTTGCTAAATAGCCATGAGGTAATGTTTACTATTTTATGAGACATGCAGAACTACGCACTCTATGCCAGAGAAATAAACACTGAAGAACAAAGAGTAGATACATCTTAATTAGATCAATAAAACTCTACCAGCACTCTAGATAGTGAATGCAGTAGTATATATCAATATTATATCAATATTTATAGTATGGGAAGATACCTAAGAAACTTGGTCTAGCATTTTCTAAGGAATAGGATCCTTGTTTTGTGACATGCTATGTGAGAGGAGAAAAAGATCTATGGTCAAATAGTTGTGTGAAATATTGCTTACACTTCTCTCCCATAGATTTAATGTGTTTGTGTGTGTAGTGTGTTGTGTGTGAGCTTTTTGATGACCCTGGAGTTGTCTCTCTTACTCAAACATTTCTTAAAGTGGAATGATTTTGTTCACTAAAACCAGTGTCCTCCATACCCCTAATAGTACTTGTTAAATATTAATCCAGCACACTGGGATTTTGTGACCAAGGTTGCCTAGTGCCTCAACATAGTTGGATATTTTGAGAGAAAAAATAGATAAATCCATTTCCAGAGTTGACCAAATGGCTTGTAACTAGCAATAGAGCTACTTTGTAGCCCAAGCTACTGTAGCCCAGGGCTTCTGAATGACTTGCTCTTCCCTAACTCATGGCCAATTAACAAGAGCAAGATAATGTCGGGGCCTAAAAGCATAAACCATAGAAAGTTTCTGAAATAACTTTTGTACCAAGAGCTCATTTTGAAATACTTAGGACAGATTGTTGAAATTTCATATGGTTATATACAGTAGAGCTAAACCCAGACTGCCTAGGATGGAAATTTTTCTCTTCCATATCAACCATCTATCTTTCAGGGTGTTACTTAACTTCTCTGCATCTTACTTTCATTATCTGGTAAATGGGCAGAATAATAGTCTCATAGGATTTGTTGAGAATTAAATGAATTAGTACATTTAAACTTAGAAGGTGGAAAGGGCCTAGAGCATGTTAGGAAGTGGGCACAGTGGCCTGTAGTGAAGAACTGTGGCTATACATAGTGACTGCACTGTGGCCTGTACTTTCAG